AACAGTCTATGAGAAAAACCCATTTTAGTGCTTGGCACACTGAAGATATCACAAATGTGAGGTTTCTTTTTTAGACTCCTTTTAAATGTAGTTAAGAAAATTGAAATATGTAAGAACAAATGCAGAATGAGAACACTTTAATTATCTTGTCTTTCATGATTTTTTTCTCAAATGATGAACTTAAATATTTAGTTTGCATCTAATCTTTAAAGTGCATTTATCCTTAATCTCCTCTATGATGCAAATTTAACATTCACTGTTCATTCATTTACCTAATTAACAAATTTGTGCCTATAAGTCAACTTTAGATTGCACTTAATGATTAAACAAAAGCTTATTAACAGCCTATTATCTGTGTGAGACTATCATTTAGAGGCTAGTTTATGCAGATACTGCTGGATAGCTTCTAGCATAGCTCTAAGATGCTTAATAATAATTTTTCATCTTGTTGAATAGTGAAGATCACTGGTGGATTTCATTTTGTTTGAGAAACCAAAGTAGCAAGGGAATAAAATTCATTGGCATGATTAAAGGCTGGATTTCCTGCAACAGTTATATTCTACTGCTTCAGAAACCTTCAAGGAGGGGCTGGAGAGATAGCTCAGTGGTTAAGGGCATGCACTGCTTTTAAAGAGGACTGGAATTCAGTTCCCAGCACCCACACTGGGCAGCTCACAACCACCTCTAACTCCAGATTCACATGATCAGAATCCCTCTTTTGGCCTCTGTAGGCACCCATACTTACATGCACATGTCCACATACACACACATTCATACCATTAAAATTAAATCTTTAAAATTTTTCCAAGGAAAAGTAAAAACTAATAAAACAAAGAAAATAATTATAGAAATTTCATAAACCATACTTAATGACAATTTAAATCTTAGCCACCATCTATGTACTGTAGACATATATGGGACAGCTGCCATTGAGGGACTGTTTTGAACTCACATAAATGAAAGCATGCAGTCTTTTGACTTCCAGTACCTGGCTTATTTTAAATGACCTAATGCTCTAGTTTTCACCCATGTTGTTGCAAATGACAGGGTTCCCTTTTGTAAAAATAGACAGTATGCCACTCTGAATTGACATTTCCATTGTCCAGCCTCTGCTGGCAGGCCTTTAGGTTGTTCCCACATCTTAGTTATCGGAACACCAATGCAATTAACATATCTCTTCCAGTTTCTACTTTCAGTCTTTTTTGACAAAAACACCCTGAGGCAGGATTACTTGATCATGTATTGGTTCTGTTTTTAGTTTTTTGTTTTGTGTTGTTTTGTTTTGAGCTTTGTGGTACATACAGCAAGGGTTGGCTGGAGCTCCCATGCAGCCCAGACTGACCTAGAAGCCTTGAGACACTAAGCTGATGCCAGCTTGATGGTGCTTAGAATCCCGCGGAGACGGGGCCAGGGGTTAGCTGAGGAGGGAAGACCAGCCATGTTTGGTGCCATAGGTGAGAGTCCTTGACCGCACTGGATTTCAGCTCTCCCTGCTTCCTGTTGTGATGAAACGTAGCAGCTGCCTCGAGCCCCCTGCCATGACTTTCTTGACATGACATCTCCAAACTGTGAACTAAAATCTAAAATAAGCTTTGTCAGGCATTTTGTCACAGCAATGTGCTGTGGAATAACCGTCTGTACACTATGTGGTGATGTGCTGTTTATGATTTATTAAAGCTTGACTGAGGATTCAAAAAGCAAAGTCAGCCACAGATCACAGAAGCCAGGCACATACCTTTAATCCCAGCAGTGAGAAGCTAGGAGGTAGTGGTACACACCTTTAATCCTAGGACTCAGGATTAAGAGATAGATGGATCTCTGTGAGTCCAAGGCCACCCAGATCTACACAAGAGTGAATCAGTCTAAAAGCAGCAGTTTGAGGCTTGGTGAGAGCTCGTGGAAACAGGACAGCCCATTCAGTCTGAGGTAGAGGTAAGAAGCTAGTAGCCAAAGCCGGGCGTTGGTGGCGCACGCCTTTAATCCCAGCACTCGGGAGGCAGAGGCAGGCAGATCTCTGTGAGTTCGAGGCCAGCCTGGTCTACAGAGCGAATTCCAGGACAGCCTCCAAAGCCACAGAGAAAACCTGTCTCAAAAAACCAAAAAAAAACAAAAAAAACAAAAAAAGAAGCTAGTGGCCAGCTGCTTTGCTTTTCTGATCTTCAGCTTGAAGTTTGAACCCTAATAGGGTTCAAAGGTCTCTAGGTCCTTTTATTTTTTCCTGCTATAACACTATGAAGATGTGTTGCTCTCATTGCTAATAAAAGCTGATTGACCAATGGTTAGACAGGATTTTGGGGTCAGAGAGAATGCTGGGGAGAAGAGGGACAAAGTCTTGGGAGTCAGGAGGAGACTCCATGAGATGCAGAGCAAGCAGATTGGGAAGTACGCAGATGAGGTAAATGAGCCCCAGGACAGCACATAGATTAATAGAAATGGGTTAATTTAAGTAAGAAAAGCTAGCTAAAAACAAGTCTAAGCTATCGGCCATTTATAATAATATTTCGTGTCTTTGTGCTTACTTGGGATTGGCTGGGCAGACAGAAAAGACAATGCAGACAGAGGCTGTTGCAACCGTGGTTCAAGAGGTCAGATTACATTTTCAGTTCGTAGCAGAACTTGGCGGTATTGTCCATGTGGTACTGGTTTGACAGGCATAAAAGATGCAAGGTTGAGGGGGGACATTTCAGAGAGCCACTGGCCACAGCGCGAAGCTGTGAGGAAGGTAAACCCTAAATTACAATGGAGACCCAAAGTTGTGTGATTGTCAGAAAGGTTAGGTTGTCTGCTGAGGAAAGCTACCGGTACAGAGCAGAGGTGGCCCAAGAGAAAATGGTGAAGGCAGCACACACCAGCATTCCTCCCTCTCTGCTTCCTGACTGTGGCCACAATGTGATCAGCCACCTGTCTCCATGCCTTCTCTACCATGACACACTCTACCTTAAACTGTGAGCTACAGGAAACTCTTCCTTCCTTAAACTGCTTTTGTCTAAAACATTTTTTTTTTTTGCTACAGCAATGAGAAAAGTAACTTACACAAGTTCTCTTATGTACCAAATTTTCTGTTTGGGGCAATATTTTTTAAACTGTTTTAATATTTAACATTTTTATTAAAGTCATTCCCTCCCTAAAGAACTTAGTCTGTACATACAACATGTAGAGAAAATGCTTTTAAAACCACACTGGTAACATGACATTAAAGATGGTATTAACATGAAGACTCAGCTATTGCAACTTAGAATTTTGACACCTTAACAGAAGTTCAGCTGACACTTACGAATCACATCTAACAAGGTCTACAAAGAATGCTGTATTCAAAATATAGAACAAATCACAGAAAAATATGATCCAGGGAGTGGAATGATGAAATTGCAGTATACAATTTGCATTTAGAAATCCACTTAAAATTTTATTTCTCTGAACATATGTTGTTACTAATTCATACTGGAGTATTCTTCACAGAAGCAGCACTTAAAAAATAAAAATTAAAAAGTTGGGGCTAGAGAGAAGGCCCAGTGATTAAGAGCACTGCCTGCTCTTCTCAAGGACCTAGGTTCAAATCTCAGCACCCACAGGGGCGCTCACAACGTCTGCAAACTCCTGATCCCGGTGATACGGCACTCTCTTCTGGCCTCCATGAACACTGCATGATCATACACATACAAACAGGCGAAGTACCACCCACACCCATTGAAAATCATGTTTTAAGAGTTCTTTCATTGCTCAAACAAGCTAACTAATAAAAATAGGACTTTTAATAATCCTAAAAGTAAATATTTGCTCCAAAGAGAGCCGAGCCACAGTCACAAGTCATGCCAGGTCCATATATTTTGTTTGTTCAAATCCAAATGTACTCCAGTGTAAAGGGTACCTACCCAGAGGAAACATTAGATACTGAAAGACCTTCCTGCAGAACACTGACAAAGCTTAAGGTTCCAGCTGACAAAATACCATTTAAGAATGTACCAAGAAGCACGAGCTTTCCTGCTTGGCAGTAAATGAACATTAACTTTCTGTAACTATGACTCTCCCATTAAACCAGAAATAATCTGGAGCCTGTGTGCTTTCTTCTGTCTGCGAACCCCCAAGATTGTAATTAATTGATCTATGCCTAGCCATACAGTTCGATGTCTTCAAGAGAGGCAAGTGGGCACCGGAATGCTTGCTCAGCACGCACAAGACTTTGGGTTCACTCTTTAGCCCTGTATCATGGAGTTTGGTAGTGCGCATAGACCCAGCACCCAGAGGACAAGGAATTCAAGAGTTTGAGGCCAGCCTGAGCTCCAATAAAAGAGAAACGACTTAGTCAGACACACACAGCGAGAACTACAGATGCTCATTGTTTGCCTGGTGCTGGGGAAAGCGCCTGCAGCCATCCGGGGACGCATGAGCGCGTGCCTCAACTAAGAGTGTGGGCTATCGCCTCGGAACAAGCGAGAGCGGGCACAGCTCCGAGGACGCCAGAAGGAGCCAGACAAGTTGCCCGCGGTCCCCGGTTCTCCTGCTACGCTGGAGAGTGTCCCCGCACCCCAACTGAGTCAGCGAGGGGCCTGGGGAAGCACACGGCGACCCTGCCTCGCGACCCGACGCCCGGGGCCCGCGTGGGGCTCCGGGGACCCCAGGGGCACGCGAGCTCCGGGGCTAGCAGCAGCCGCCACGCCCCGCGCCGCCAAGCTGAGCCGCAGCGACCCACCTTCCGGAGCGCGAGCGGCCGCTGAGAGGAAAGGACGCGCTAGAGGGCGCCCTGAACGCGGGCTTCGGCCCCACAGCCGCCGGCCCGCGACGCTGGCTCAGCTCCACTCCGCCTCCCCGCGGCCGGCCGGCAACGACGCCTCACCCCTCGCCTGCCGCGGAGACCCCTGGGACTCGTAGTGCTCCCCGCCGCGGAGACTCACGGGACTCGTAGTGCGGCACCCCCCCCTCCGGCCGGCCGCCGCACAGGCTCACGGGACATGTAGTTCGCTCCTCCCCGCCCCGCCAGAGCGCCGCTTAGCGGTGCCCTCCGAGCCTCCGGGTCCCGCTTCCGGTTTCGTCGCGCTGCGCTGGCACCCGGCCTGTGTGCGGCCGCGACACCTCGGTGGGCCGCGCGCAGGCTGCTCACGCCCCGTTCGTGGGCCCTTCTAGAACCCTCTCGGCCGCGCCGCTCCGGGACGGCAGCGGGAGCCGGCGGCCCCGGAGCTGGCGCGCGTGCTGCTGGGTAACCGGCCTGCTCGGGCGGCCGCGGGCCGCTCCGGCTCGGCTCGTCCGTGACCTCCGGGGGCCCCCGACTACAAGGCCCGCGGGAGCCGCGGCCGAAGACATGGGATTCCCTCGGTGCACCTGCGGCGGCCACCTTGTCGGGGGAAGCGGCGGTGTCTTCGAGGAAACCGGAAGCCCGTGGTGACCCCTGGCGACCCGGTTTGTTTTCAGTCGGTTTCCAAACACTGGGGAAGCGAAACCCGGTGGCCTTGGGGGCGGCCCCCAACGTAGCCAGGGTTCAGGGTGAGTGGATCGCTCGCTCGCCCGCCCGCGCTCGCCGGGAGGGCGCCGACAGCCAGGACCCGCCTGGTGGCTGTCGCCTGGCCGGGCGCGCGTCGTCTTCCGTCCCCGGCGCCCCTCTGCGGTACGGAGCGGCCCACTGTGGCGCCCCCCGCACGCCCCTGCCATCCCCACGGCCCCGCTACCACAGGCTCGTCCTTAGCCCTCCCGTTTCTGTCCGTGCTCTGACTGACTGGGAATGCTTTCAGTTTTATTTCCTGCACTGAGGTGGCATTTGTGTGGAAGGGGAAAGAGGGACGTGGGTGGGGTGACCATGGCGTCTGGGCAGTGGCTGTCAGTGTAACTGGTGTGTTTCAACCCCGGTTTTCGGCTGTGTTACCGAGAGAGAAGAATACCCAGGGAAGCTACTAGAAATCAGAACATAAAACTGCTCAGAACAAAATAACGTGGTGATCAGAAACATTGACCTCCACTCCTTAAATGTAGAAGACATTTGAACTTAAGTTGGATTGAGCAAAATCGGAAAGCAGTTTCATTCCTAGTTCTCCAAAATACGTTCTCATCCAGTCCGCGGTGACCACTCCATCTTAACTAAATTGGGAATAGTTGGGATTACTCGCTGAATGGCTACAAAATACTGAGTGCCCTAAGATTTGTAAATGGTCGTTTTTCATGCAAATGTAAGAGTTTAAGAGGCAGCATGCTGTCCTGGGAAACAGCCGTGGATTAGATCAAAAGCAGGCATTGAATTTTCCATCTGTTCACTTAACACGAGGAAAAGGTTAAGCCTCTTACTCTTGAGTCCCCCTTTTCTGAAGTACACTGCTCACTTTGCAGATACAGTTTCTAAGAGCTGTGCTGGCTCCTGAAGTTGGCAGCCTCTTTGCATGTTTAATAGCTTAACCTGTAAATTGAGATGTGCTTACCCATCTTAGTGTTTTTACATTGATTTAAAGAATTCTTCAGAAATATAAATTCCTAAGAATTACCCAGTTCAGCCGGGCATTGGTGGTGCACGCCTTTAATCCCAGCACTTGGGAGGCAGAGGCAGGCGGATCTCTGTGAGTTCGAGACCAGCCTGGTCTACAAGAGCTAATTCCAGGACAGCCTCCAAAGCCACAGAGAAACCCTGTCTCGAAAAACAAAAACAAAAAACAAACAAGAAAAGAATTAGCTAGTTCATTAAAAGATGAAGCGCACGTGAGGTATGGTGGCACATGGCCTTAAATAATCCCAGCACTAGGGAAACAGGCAGGCTTGTTCCTGAGTTCCAGGCCAGCCACTGCTACACAGTGAGACCTCTTCAAGAAAAAACTGAGGTGAAGCACAGTGTCTACTGTAACTGCCTGTACCAGAAGACATGCTTCGTGAATGTTAGCACAGGCCATTGTCATGCGTACTGAGTTTTTAAAAGCATTTCTGAATGGGGCCACCATAACTTTAATGGCACTTACCTGAATTGTTAGAAAATATCAATAATATTTTCTGTAGGTGTTTGGTTGCATCGAGACGCATTATTTTAGAGTGAAAAGAAGGCTGCTCTTTGTACTGATCTCTGCACTTCAGTGAGTCAGGATCATAAAAATGAAAATGGCATTTTTCATATTACATATCTGATAGTGCTTAAGCTTTTGGACACTTAATGAATTACAAACATGTGGTTGCTAAGATACATAGATTAAGTGTTGGGATCTTTTTAAAAAGGGCACTTGGGCATCCCTTTTAAAGAAGCCATGTTTTAGTTCCCCTTCTGTATTTGGATTAAAAATTTTGCCCTCAAAATATAAGGAGGCAGTATCTTAATGATACAATCCAATTCCAATTGAGCTTGAGAGAGCTGATATGAACTAGTGTGTAATTGGGGTGACAGATTATAGACTAGAATTTGAGTTTCTGAATCTTAGGTCATTGTACTGTAGAGTTCTTCTACCTTGTCTACATTCTTATTGGAAAAAATTACAGTCACAACATTCAGAGTGTTTTATGAGGAGCCTAGATTTGACCTGACCCAACTCCCAGCTTCATCTGCCCAGCTCCTAGTGCCGGTAGGTAAGGACTTTCCAAATCTCCTCAGACCCAGACCACTCACCCCAAACTCCCGGAGTCAACCCTGTTGTAGACATGGGTAGATCTGGGCTGTTCACAAACTTGGTCAGAGAAACTTCTTTTTGCAGCAGTCAGCAGCCACTGGTGAGCTAATTGGTCTATAACCACCCCTGTGACATGTGACAGGGCTGAGATTTGAACTGAGACTTAGTACTGTGCATTGCCTTCTGCAGTGAATATTGTTTCGAATCTCCAATGGCTTTCGAACTCTGAAAAGCTAGGACATTTGAGAACCCACTTCATACAGGTGGGCAAAAAGGAAGAGAACCAGGAAATAACAAGTTACTCCTCTCATCTAAGTAATTAGGGGCATCCTGGGTCAGGGATGAGCATAGGAGGCTAAACGCTCAGCCCTTAGTGCGGAGAGTGTCGTGGTAGAGAAGGTGGAAAGAGTGAGAGCCGAAGGAAGGACAGAAGGACGTAGTGGGTGGTCCACTCGTGCACAGTTGCCCTGGATGGGTCATCACAAACAGACATGAAGTGTGGGCATGTTGAGGAAGATGGAGAAAATTGGAGGGGGAAATATGGGTAGATCATATTTTAAGTGTCTGATTTTAAAAGATAACCCGTAGATTTAGAAGATAAGTTATCTGGGTTCATATCCGAAGCTTTGTCTCTGATTTGTTCTTTAAACTTTATAAATTGAGTTAATAGTACCCAGCTAAATGCATATATAAGCATTGGTGGTTGGCACTTGACAGATGACCTAAATGGCAGGTATTCTAATACTGAAAATGGCAGGATAATCATGAATTCCTAGAAAAAAAGAACAATCTTATGTCAGCAGAAGATATTTGTTTTCTAGGATATCAAGTCCCAGTAAATATAGCCTATCACTTTTAAAGTAATTTTGATTAATAATGCTTGAACCTCTTTTTCTTGATATGTCTCTCCATTAGTCATAGACACTCTCAATCTCCTCTAACAGATTGCTCCATTCTCATTCCTGGAATTTTCCTGCTCTCCGCAGGCAGCATTATCTACCTTAACCCTTCCTATTTCTGTTTTAATTTATACTCCTGATCTATACTTCAAGGCATGGCATTGTCAAACATATGAAATATTCGTACTTACAGCTATCTTTGTAGCATTTAAATGTTCTCCACCTGACTGTCAAGTACTATCATGATGAGATGATAAAGTTGAAATACTTCCTGTACTGTTACCTACCATATTCACAAGAAAGTTACGTGGTCACCAGTTGATAACAAAACTAACCTTGCCTGTAGATGGTCAAGAACACTAGTTACAGTTGTGTTGTATCTTGAAAGTAGTTCTCAAGTAACTGTAGGACTCAAAATAATCTGGAATGTTCACTGTAGGGTGCACCTTGAAATATTCAGCCCAGATAGTGTGATTTACATGGATCTACAGTAAAAACCAAATAGCCAGTATTTTTTTTTTTTTTTTTTTTTTTTTTTTTGGTTTTTCGAGACAGGGTTTCTCTGTGGCTTTGGAGGCTGTCCTGGAACTCACTTGGTAGTCCAGGCTGGTCTCGAACTCACAGAGATCCGCCTGCCTCTGCCTCCCGAGTGCTGGGATTAAAGGTGTGCGCCACCAACGCCCGGCAGTAGCCAGTATTTTTTAACAACTGCAAGCAATTAAGATAGTGGTCTCCACCTTACTCTGCCCATCACTGGGTTAGGCACCTTCCACCATCCCCTTGCTCTCGCATTCTCTGGAATACATTACTGCTTTTACCACTGAGAGGAACCCACTTCAGCTTGTCTTTGGAGAGTGTGTTTATAGTGATTAAGTTCTGAAAGTGAATATTAACTCCCTTGCAAGGGGGTATTCAAAACAGTTTAGTCTTTCAGTTAATCTTGTGTGTGTGGTGGGCGGTGACCCAGGGCCTTCTAATGCTAGAGAAAAATGTCCTACCACTGAACTTTAGCAGCAGTTCAGTGAGTGACTGTATTGTCTGTTCTTGGCACCCAATTTCTAAAGATTATTGGAATAGAAGTCTTTTAAATTATAGTAAATAAGACTGGTACAAACAAGTTTCTTAAAATGTTACATGTTAGCATTAGCTTGACATATTTAAGTTTAGTGCCACTTATCCAGCAGTATCAAACGTCCAAGCCAGCTGACTGGTTTTGTAAAGTCATTTATCATAGGGTTCCATACTGTAGCTTGCTCTGGACTGTATAGAACTCACTCCCAGGCAGCCTTGAACTGGACTGTGGTTCAAGAGCCTCCCTTGAGGACATGCCTAAGGACCTTCTATAATATAACACCTCCACTGTGGGACTAGACCATAACAGTTGTGAGCACTCTTAGTAAGAGTCATGTCTGGGCTGTCTTCAAAGGTCTTATAGACTAAGGGCCAAAATTGACAGCCTCTCCATCATAAGAGTCATCTCATTTGTCCCCTGGTTCTATCTCCTGTCTCCTGTCACTCCCCTTTCAGCTCCTCCCTCCCCACACTTGTCTTTTAAGTTGTTCACCTGCTACAAGTTAGCAGACTGTAAAAAGTTTAAGTGTGACTAAATAGAGTCAAAATGACTTCACTTACAAGAGTGAACTGATCTCATTTTGGTACCATCTTTGAAAACCATGCTTCCCATCCCTCTGACTCCATGGCATTTTGTATTGTTTCAGCTACATTACTTACCTATAGAATATAATAGTTTCTCTGTACACCTGTCTCCCACACTAAGTTATGGCAGTTTTATTTTGTATTTCTGCTTAGAAAATGATTAATGATAAATATGGATACAGAAATTACAATTGAATTATTTAGAACTTTGTTTAAGATAAAAGTGCAAAAAGCTCAGGTCTTTAAAGTATTTCTTGCCTTTATGGATCAGTTCATTAGTGTTTGGTTTAGCTGATGTTTGAAGATACGCAAGTTCAATAATTCTATTCATTTAGGGTAGGATTGTTATTTAAATCAGAAAACAGTGTGTACTGTTTTTCACCTCCCTAAAATTAGACTGTATTGCAGCGCGCACGCGCGCGCACACACACACTATACTATATAGTGCATATGATTTATTACATATATATTTATAATGGTCTTCTACTTTGGCTCGGGAGCCATCCAGCCCAGGGCCTGCTGCATGCTTGGCAGATGCTCTGCTGCTGAACCATGCTCCCAGCCTCATTTCACACTTTCAGAGAACTTTATAGTAATGGACCTCAGTGCTTTATCTACAATCATTTTTCCATCCTTTCATGATAAAAGTGGTTATTAATATTTCCTGAGCCTTAACAACTTACCACCGACTCACACGGCCCTGAACCTTGGATTAGTACCTGGGTAGCTGTGCTTATAGCAGTTATCACTGTTGCCTTGAAAGAGTAGTTTTCAGTATTCGTATTGTAAATCTGTATTTTCTTCCCTGCTCATTGACCACGTGTGACCTTCCTTCTTTCTCATCCCATAGCTGCCATGGACACACTGGTAGAAGATGACATCTGCATTCTGAACCATGAGAAAGCCCACAAAAGAGAGGCGGTAACTCCACTCTCTGGGTATTCAGGGGACGAATCTGTTGCTTCACATTTTGCCCTTGTCACCGCATATGAAGACATCAAGAAGAGACTTAAAGATTCAGAGAAAGAAAACTCTTTCTTAAAGAAAAGAATAAGGGCTTTGGAAGAAAAGGTAATTTTTTTCTCTTTTGATTATGTGTGGCATAAAGAATAATTCCAAATACTTGATATTTTCTCATCTACCTTCCAAGACTAAGTAAGAATTCCTAAATTCTTTACCATTAAACTGTGTTGCACCAGCTTTACCGTGTGCTTGGTGATATTGGAGATTTTCTTTTCCCTGTTTTCAGATTGCCTACTGTCATTGCTATGGATTGCTACCAGTTTTTTTTTTTTTCCTTTTCCTTTGTTTTTGTTTCAGGGTTTGTGTGTGCACATGCATGTGTGGTGCACCTGCTGTTTTGGTGTGTGTACGCGTGCACACGCATGTGCACCTGCATGTATTTGAAGGCCAGAAGTCAATCTCAGGTGTTGTTCCTCAGGAGCTGTTCACCTTCTGTTTTGAGATGGGATCTAGGTCAGAGGGGCCATAATTAGACTAGGAAGCCTTAGGGGATCTTGCCGTCTCCCTGTACTGGGTTACAGGTATCCACCACCATACCTGCTTTTTAACGTGAGGATTGAACTCATGTCCTCACGCTTATGCAACAAGCAGTTTGCCCGCTGAGCTGTTACCAGCCCTGGTGTGTGTATATAATTGAGAGCTTTCAAGTCTATACAGAATAATGCAACACTAGTAAATTAAACTCAAGGGCACCCTCTTCGGCCATTGCTTACCGTGTTTAGCAGGCTCTTTACCGGACTGGACCCTTTTCTTGGGCGTTCTCTTTGATTTCCTGGAAAGTAGGAATTACCCTTTGAGTGGACAGTGACAAGGACTTTTCCATGCTGAGTGTTACATTTCTAAATATTATATGAGGTGGCTAAAATGCAGTCTAAATCAAACTTGACTTAATTTTATATGTTGGAATTTTTCTTGGTTGCCCCTTTTTTTAATGTCATTTAAAGGTTTTAATTAGTTTATATTTCTTTAGTCAGAATTGTATTTGTATCTTACAAAAACAAGAGTTTCCACAAATGGTGAAAGAAATGAATTCATAAGAAATTTCCCAGTATTTAAAAACTTGAGGATGGGTGGTAAGACAAGGAAGTCGTTTATTAGTATTATCATAATTTCTTCTCGTTAATTTTAACTTAGTAATTATGATATTTAAGTTAAATTACTGAAGGTAACTTTACAACTAATAGTTATGCATCTGAAATTCAATAAAATCATGGAATTTAGTGTGTAGTTAACATACAAAATATGTATTTTATTATCATGAATCCTATTAATTTCAATTGCTGAAATAATGCAGGGTTTAATGAAGTTGCATGTCTATTTCTTATGAAGTTGAGTCTGATTTGATACTTTTCTGATGATAGAAATTAGATACTGTAGACTTGGAAAATACCCAGACACTTCCAAGACAATATACTGTATTATAGTGTGATGATTAAGTTTACTATAAAGCAGATAGTACAAAGCACAGATTATTGAGGAGCAGCAAACATAGGTGTTTGATTTTCTTTCCTGCACTATTTGGCTTCTTGATGAAGCTTGTGTGAGAGTGAATATTCACTGAATCACAGGCAAAGGTAGACTCTGTCCTTGCAGGGCAGTGGTCAGGGTGAGATGTAGAGCCACCAGGAAGTGGACTTCCTGATTCTGCAGACTGCCCACTGAAGGTTTCTCCCCAATCTCATACGACTAGCTTGTTGGAGCTCGGGCCGATGAAGAAACAAGTTCTGTGGGACGAGAACAAGTGAATAAGGCCTATCATGCATATCGAGAGGTTTGCATTGATAGAGACAATTTGAAGAACAAATTGGAGAAAATAGTAAGTTGATTTGAAAAGAATATATTTTAATTATTTTGTCTTGCAAGAAGTTTAGAATTAAAAGATTAAACATTTACATTTGTTAATTAAATAAAATATGTATGTTCATGGCATATGGAATTTTAATAATTATATTTCCCACTAATATACAAAAATAAATACTTAGTTTTTAATGAGTACTGCTAACTTACTTTGGAAAAAATCATGACAAGGTTGAATTACTCATTGTGGGTGTTTTGCTTTGTTTTGATCCAGTGAGCAATGCTATCCTAAGAAAGAAACAAAAAGATTAGTGAGAATCAGGGTTCATTTTCCCACCTTGCTTTTGAAAGTTAGAATGAGGTTTATTCAATATTGACCTAAAAAGTAAGGTATAAGACAAACGTAGAGATTTTATTGACTGTAATTTGGCATTTTCCCTACTTGACTAGAATAAAGACAACACTGAATCTTTGAAGGTATTGACTGAGCAGCTACAGTCTAAAGAAGTAGAGCTTCTGCAGCTAAGGACCGAGGTGGAAACTCAGCAGGGTATGCCACTCACTTGTTACGAATATTCTAATCGGTCTTTCCATTTGTGTGTTATGGTCATAATCAGTCCTGTAGCTGTATGATAAAGGCTTAGTTTTTTCTCTTCTTTTTTGCACAATATCTTACTACCTTTTCTTTAGCTGAAAATTGTACTTTTCCTACAGATGTGATGTTTTTATTCAAGGATAGTATGTGATGAAGTAGGAGCGGAAAGACATAAAGATCCCCATCTTCCCCAAAACACTCGCCCACTGGCATCTCCTGACTTGGCCTTCAGGCTGACCTTACTTATTGCCCACAATTAAACACATTGTCATGGAGTAGCTTCATTGTCTCTTACACTTTTTCTTCCTGGAGGTTGGTGAAATGTATAGGTGAGAGGCTGAAATGGAAAGTTAGTCTGAGAGTTATAGATAATAGTCTTGTTCCCATCAACAGTCCCATGAGATAAGCCATTTCAGTAATTGCCTATTGAGAGACCTTTTGGTAGAAAATGAATGTCAGATCTTTCCGGGTAAATGGTTGGGGCTTTTTGGAGATGGAGAAATGAAGGACTAAGTCAAAGATAATGTAGGATCCAGCTGTATTAAGTTTCCATAGTCAGGTGTTCATGAATAAAACTGTTTGGACATACGTTCTAGACCTGTCAGTCAGACTGCAACCTTTGATGGAGAACATGATGCTGAGCCTTAGTATTTATGCATATGTTGTACTGGTTATTTATTGACATTTTATTAGTGTCTCCTAGGAACTGTAGTTGGTATAAAAAGCAAAGATAACTGTTTTGTTGTCTGTCCTTTTTCTAGTAATGAGGAATTTAAATCCGCCCTCATCAAACTGGGAGGTGGAGAAGTTAAGCTATGATTTGAAAATCCATGGATTGGAACAAGAACTGGAACTAATGAGGAAGGAATGCAACGACCTCAGAACGGAGCTGCAGAGAGCCAGACAGACGGTACTTCAGTCCCTAAGTTCTCGTGCTCTGTGCATCTGTATAGGGTTTGTAACTAATGGAGCTGCAGAGAGCCAGACAGACGGTACTTCAGTCACTAAGTTCTCGTGCTCTGTGCATCTGTATAGGTTTGTAACTAATGGAGCTGCAGAGAGCCAGACAGACGGTTCTTCAGTCACTAAGTTCTCATGCTCTGTGCATCTGTATAGGGTTGTAACTAAGTGCTAAATCATAGGTCTGTAATTGATTTTTTTTCTTTGTTGGTTTTTTGAGACAGGGTTTCTCTGTATTGCTTTGGAGGTTGTCCTGGAACTAGCTCTTGTAGACCAGGCTGGCCTTGAACTCACAGAGATCCACCTGCCTCTGCCTCCTGAGTGCTGGGATTAAAGGCAAACGTCACCACCACCCAGCGTGTGCTGAAAATTTTAAAGAGAACTTAGTTTTAGCTTTTCCATTTTATTTAACCTAACAATTTGGTTAGTTTAGACACAAGAGATAACATTATAGAATTTTTGAAGAACAAACAAAAGACAAAAACCTTGCCACTAACAAAGGAAGCCTGTAGCCTGCTTCTTTTCAGAAGACTCAGAAAACATTTGAGAATTCAAGAATGACAAAAATCAGCAAGAAAAACATCTGCCAAGTTTGCTGCCTTAGTGTGATTAGCCTAAAGTCATCCATTCACACAAACTGCTTCTCAGTTCCTCTCCAGGACTCTGTTTACCACTGGATTCAAATAAAAACTTAAGTTCTCAGATGAAGCTGTTGAGTATGAGAAATGGCACCAAAACATTTTACATTTGTGATTTTAATCCTCAGCTCAACCATTTGCCCACCGTGGCACCTGCACCGTGAGCAAGTCTAATGTATTTGGCGAAAGCCTGGAGATTTAAATGAAAGACAAGACGTCCGGCAGTTTGTGCTAAGAGAACGTGCGTGCCTTTTTTCAAGGAGGGAGCAGCCTTATATACAGACTTACAGCACAGTGAAAAAACCCCAGGTGTAAGAGTTCATGCTTTCATAATTAGAGGTTGATGCCAGTGGGGCAAAGCCGGGGCTGTAAGCCAGGACTAGAAAACAGGATGCACCTGTGGTTATTGACTGACGAGCAACTCACAGAGACCCCGTGGGGGCTGGGGCCCAGCAGCCCACCAGAGCCTTGCATACTGCTAAGGACTCCTGTCCACGTTCCTCTGGGGTCACCATCTAAAAGAGGAGCTACTTGCCATACTCTGACTGTCAACCAGAATTGTGTGCCCATGTCCCAAATGCCTTAGATGCTGCTTGCTTCTCCCTCTGTGATGTAGTCTTATTAGTGACCACCAGTTGAGAATGAGCTACATGGAAGAATACCATAGCACTCTGCGTTCACCTGACTAATTCATCTGACTGCACAGTGGCAAGCCATGTCAGGAACCCCGGGTCTGATAAAAGAAAGCGAGCGCCACAAAAACTGCTGTCTACTTGACTTAGAGCCCAGAGGTTTCTGTTTCTGTTACTCGACTGCACAAAACATTACTGTCCTACCTTTGACTTGTTGTTGGCTACACAACACCGCTTCTTCAAGCTTCAGCACTCTGTTGTGCAAGCACAGTGACCACAGCCATTAACATGTCCCTTTTAGAATAGTGTCTGCTTGTGAGAGAAGATTTAGAATCCTTCTGTGTACACTTTTCTTGAAAGGAAATAATTTGATAGCTTTTATATATAAAGTATGCTTACATTTTTATACATAGAGTTTTTCACTGTAGAGTGAGAAACAGTACCATGTGTCCATGGGAATCTGGCTTATTGTGTTTTTCTTTTTAATTAAATATGGAAATTAGGAATGTCATTTAATTTCCAGGAAATTTACTTTCTGTGAACATTAAATACCTCTCTTCTCATAAATGTTAGATTAGGGATTGTATAAAGAGGTTAGCATAGTACCTGGACAGAGTGCATACATTAAAACTAACAAACCTGTTGAGCGTAATTCAGAAAGCAGTGTCTGTGTGGACTTGGAGGCTCAGGTTGCAGTTCTCACTGCTTACTTTTCCACTAGGTGGAGCTAGGGGATGAATTTGCTTTCAGCTTATATCTGTCATATGCTAGCAGTTCATAGAAATGGGTTACCAGAAGTACACGAAAGTTTTGTAAGTTCTGAGAGACAAGAGACTTTTAATAGTGATATGTGAGATGGGGGAATGTAGGAAGGGAGAGAAAACTGAACACTGTTCTGCTTTCATGGTCATGTAACCCTGATAGCAGGAAGTCATACAGTGAAGAGCCCGTAACTGATATTAAGAAACAAACTAAGAAGAGCTGAAGTGGCATTTTTTCAAAGGTTTCCAAGTTCAAACCATAATGTTTTATGTACTTTTAAATCTGAGTAGAATCTTAGATATGCAAATCTAAGAATGAGCCAAAGAAAGAAGTTTATGCTCACATTAACAACTTACCTGTACCTACCTACTCTGTCCATGTTTTAAAATACGAAAACATTATTTTATGTGACACGTACTTTAAGGTACCTGCTGGGGTGCATAGCAGTATCATTTGTGATCATGCTAGTAGTACTCTGCTTTTGACTCTTAGTATACTTGGCAGCCAGTGTTTGTTGTCAAGAAGGCCAGCACTTCAGAGACCGCTCTGCTGGCCTTTTCCAGCCTCTTTTCCTAGCCATTTACATTCAGAGCAGTTGGTTCTGAGTTCAGACTCAGCCACAGTGGTGTAGAGAACAGTGTGGAGCCTAGTGGTGTGCGGTGACTAAAGGTCCAGGAAAGTATGGTGCGGGCGTGTGGACCTCAGTGACTCCCCAGAGTGTGCTCTGCAGACAGCAAATCCGGCTGACTTGCCATGCGGAGCTTTTGCATGTTAGGGACAACCCGTTGGGGGGATTTTTATTTTTCCTGGTTTGCATTCAGCTTTTCTGCAATGTCAGTAGGTACATTTTTTATCCTAACAAGATTTATTTTTATATTGTTGGCCTTAAAAAGGTTTCCAGTAAACATGTACGTTTTAAGTATTCGCTAATAATGACACAAACACTATGGGGTCTGAAGATAATTATATGGAGAGCAGTGGAGCAACCCCAAAGGTGCCTCCAATGCTAGTGGTCAGACCTCCCTGATTCATTGCTGATTGTTTCTCCTTCTCTATAGGGCTCTAAAATGCAGTTCGTCACAGTAAAGTCAGAGGCCCCAAGCTGTTTTAAATCCCATAGTGTGGTATATCAAATGTAGGGCGTTCATGAAGTCCTAACAGGTTTTCATAGCATTTACATGCTAGTTTTTGAGACAGAGCCTTAACTCTGTATCCCATGTTAGCCCAGAACTACTCTGTAGCTCAGGCTGTCCTCAGACTTGTGACAATCCTCCTCAGTCTCCCAAGCATTGGGATTATGGGAGGGAGCCACATGCCTGGTTTGTAATTTATGTTATGTAAATACTGAATAATAAAATTTTGTTAGTTCAGCTTATACCAGCAATTCCTGCTGATGGACTAATTAATACCTGTGAGATTAATGTTTGTTATAGATTTTTAAATGCATTGTGAACAAGTGTGACACAGAAGATGAATATATTAGATTTATTTAAAAGTATCTTTTATAGGTATGGAAGTTTTTTGGTTGTTGTTTTGTTTTGTCACACCTACAGTTTAAATAACTAAAACCTTAAAGGGTGTGGGGACTTTTAATAAATTCTTGCCAAGGCCACACCTTTCAAGGGAGTTTGGGAAATGTAGTCTTGAGCTGGCTAATACAGTGACAAACCCCAAATGAAACTGTTACCAGTGAAGAAGATGAAAACAGGCCCAGTGGGGACAACTAGAAACCTCAGGTACATTTACTGAAAATGGTTCTTTCTTACGTAACACAGTGTTAGTTAAAATAATACAGTGTACATAACCTATTCATTCAGTCTCTCTTCTTTACCCACAGCAAGAAAAAGTAAAATTACTGTGTCCATATGCATTTGATGAAAAATAAATCTCAGTAGCATTTATCAAATGAGAACACTATTACAGCACAGTTCCAAGTTTTTTTTTAAAGATATAATTGTATTTCCTGAAATTGAAACCAATTGCTTATACAGTTTTTGATAATAAAGACCAAAATACTTGTACACATAGGAAAATTCTTGCCAGGTCAGTCATTTTACAAGGAAATATATTCTGTCTTAAAACAGTAACTATGATTAAGAGCTCTGGCTACTCTTTCAGAGGACCTGGGTTCAATTCCTAGCATCAACAGGGCAGCTCACAACTGTCTATAACTCTAGTTCCAGGGGGCCTAACATCTCACACAGACAATACATGCAGGCAATACACATAAGACAAAAGTAAATAAATTTGGAGTTGGAGGGATGACTTGGTTGTTAAAACAGTAACTTGTCCAGTTTTTGCTGGCTTTTTTTGAGCAGTAAGAAATACCAAAGAAACTCCCATATTCCATAGATAGAATTCATGCAGATACCTTAAACAGTATGTGATAGGTGTATTACACATGCAGTTTGTTGTATTGCATTCCAAAACTCATGAGACTATGTTGTAAAGGAAAATGAAAGCATGAACACTCCAAATAACTGAAAGTGAGTTAGGCATTTTGGAGATAGGTGGCAGTATTTCATTAAAGTTGAGTCTGAAATCTAGTCTTACACTTTATACAATTATAAATGTATTCGGTGTATCTTGAAACATCTGTGATGAAGAGCTGAGAAAATTGAAATAATTCTTTTTTTTTTTTTCCTTTGTTAAACACATGACAGGGTCCACCTCAGGAAGACATTCCTCGGGACAAAGATCTCTTCAGACCGAGCCTGTCGAGGGAGGAAGATACTCCACACCAGGGCCTTCTCCACAGGTCTGTGTGCTTTCTACTTTTCTGATGTGGTTTGACTTTAAAAGCAGCAGATACTCTGGGTACTGGCTGTAATCGCTGGCTATCATGTATTTATAAAAATGATTTAACAGTTACTGACCTGATCTGCTATGCCATGCTTACCAAAAATATTTGAAAGACAGCTGTAGAGAAATTATGATTGTCAAAGTAAACATCTTTTAATTTTGTAACAAATACCATACTTTAACTTTGGTTCCTTTAAAGCAGTGGTACACAACCTTTTTTATTATAGTTCCTGATGTGGAGGTGACCCCCAACCATGAAATTATTGTTGCTTTTTCATCACTATAATTTTGTTACTGTTATGAATCCTAATGTAAATGTGATATATCACAACTCCCAGGTTGGAACTGCCGCTTTAAGGGTTAATTCTCAGTGCTAAAGGAAATTATGTATGCCTGAAGTGGATCATAGATTAGTAGGTTCGTTTTGTTTTGTTTTGTTTTTTTCATGAGCTGTTTTCATTTACAAAAAGGCTGACATATAATATTGGTCAAGAGAACAGGACTTCACAGTACTCTCTAAACCAGACATTATATGTCATGCTTTCTTGAGCTACAGACAAATAAGTTCCACAATGCCAAAGAGAGAAGGGTGAAAGTCTGACTCAGACTAAGCATATCTGTGTGGACTGTAGCCACTTTACAGGTTCTGTGGTGTGCATGTGGCAATGCCTGAAAGAAATGTGGCCCCTGAAAGGGCTTTTCAAGTAACCTTGTGGAGCGGAGTCCATTCCTGAACTATTCTCTCGTGAAAAATGAGATTTCCCATTGTCCTGGTCAGGGTTACTGTTGCTGCAGTGAAGCACCATGACCAAAGCAACTTGGGGAGGGAAGGGTTTATGTGGCTCACACTTCCACGTCATGGTCATCATCGAAGGGGCCAGGACAGGAGCTCAAACAGGGCAGAAGCCTGGAGGCAGCAGCTGATGCAGAAGCCATGAAGGGTGCTGCTTATTGGCTTGTCCAGCCCTAATTCTTATAGAACCCAGGGCCACCTTCCCAGGAGGGACCCCACCCATACCAATCACTAATTAAGAATTATTATTAATTATTAATAATTGCCTTCGGCCTGATCTTATGGAGGAACTTTTTTCAGTTGAGGCTCCCTCCTCTCCAATGACTCTCTGCCTTGTGTCAAGCTGACATAAAAGTAGCCCACACAGCCATTTTCCCAGGATGGTATGAGAATGTGGTTAAGTGCCTAGCACATAATGAAGGCTTAGCCATCATTATTCTTTTTCATAAGACTTATTTATTTATTATGTGCGCAGTATATGCCTGCACTCCAGAAGAGGGCACCAGATCTCATTACAGATGGCTGTGAGCCACTATGTGGTTGCTGGGAATTGAACTCAGGACCTCTGGAAGAGCAAACGGTGCTCTTAACCTCTGAGCCATCTCTCTAGTCCAGCCATCATTATCTTACGTGTTGTTTTTCAGGGCTCTCAAGTAGAATAAATCATTTAAGTACTCAAGAAACTCATAAGTTCCTTAGAGGCAACTTAACTATATATATGAAATGTATTTTTCTTATATCATTTAAAACAAGTTAGGTTTATGCTCCCATTTAAGAAAGTAGGAGCTGGACTTTGGTGGCGCACGCCTTTAATCCCAGCACTAGGGAGGCAGAGGCAGGTGGATCTTTGTGAGTTCGAGGCCAGCCTGGTCTACAAGAGCTAGTTCCAGGACAGCCTCCAAAGTTACAAAGAACCCCTGTCTCAGGCAAAAAACAAAAAGTAGGACAAAATGGTATGCAGTCCATGCATAGCCTCAAAAACACTTGATAAAACACCGAATACTCATTAGGTTTGCTTGGAACCCTGCTAAGAATTTGAGAGATAACTTGCTTTTTCATTCTTATTTAATGGATTCAACATTTGTTCACACACTTTAAAGATTGTAACACTTGCATGCTGTTATCCATTAAGAGGAAGAGTTGTAAATAGTAGTAATCTTAGATATTGGGGTGGCCGTGTGGTGGTCAGAGATAACTTAGGGAGGTTCTCAGCCTCACTCTTACCTTGGGTCCAGTAGTTAAACTCAGGTCACTTGCCAACCCATCATCGTAGGGTTCTAAAATGGACCTTTTTATGGGAGAGCTTGTGTGAGTTTATGAGGACTGTGGGTTACAGGAGCCTGTGGAAGTCAGAAGAGGGCCCCGGGGGCCCAGGAACTGGTGCTCCAGGCAGTTGGATGCTAGGAGCCGAACCCTGGTTCTCTGCAAGAGCGAGCAGTTAGCACTCTTGAGCTGCTTGCTTTGTCAGTGTGTGGCTTAGTGTAGGTGACACTAAGAACAAAGCACAGAAAGGTGAGATTCTGGTGATGACGTTTCATCTCACCCTAATTGTAAATAATCTTCATTAAAGTGAAGGTTTAAATGTACCTTAGATATTGATATAGTACCTTTATAGTCATCTTTACTTGACATGTACTTGGTGTTTGAGTATCCAAGGATCATTATGAAGTTTTTTTTAAAGACAGGTACAGAATCACCATCTTATAACAATAACAAACTATTTTCAGACTATAGTATTCATGCCTATGTGCCTGAATTACCACATGTACAGTGCTTAGCTCGCTGCTTTATACTTTGAGTGACAGTTTTCTTCAAAGCAGTGTGCTGTTTATAATACAAGAATTGTAGTTCAAGGAGGGTAGAAATATTGTGTCGGAAGAGGTAAAAATTTACCTCTCACAATTTAACCTAATTGTCTTTAAATATCTATTGCTTCTGTCATTAGGTACTAGATTCAGATTTCAAGGTTATCCCATTGAAGTTTAAGTTGTTTATTAGATAGAAGAAAATACGGATAAGGTAGCATGTTTGCTTAGTTTTATTTCCATAGCACTTACATTCTCAAGCCTGTATTAGTGGTTGTTCTAATATTATGAAGTCAGTTCTTACTTTGACTAATTCGTGTATCACTGTGCAGGAAAACGAGTGTGTGCTGAAGATTTCAGTTCGTTTAGTTGGCAACTAAGAAACTAAAGAAAATCATGAGCCTAAGAGGATTTAATGGAAAATAAAAGCTTTTAAAATTAGATATAAACAGTTTCAGATTCTGAGGTAAAATCTTTCTAATTATAAAACTATAGAAAGGCATTTTGAAGTTTTGTTTCCTTTAATCTGCTTCTCTAGCTACTGCTTCGTTGTAAGGAAGTCATGTGACTACTCATGCCTTGTGCTGTCACGTCACATTGGTTTAGAGCCAACAGTATGAGACAGCCCAGTCAGACATGAAGAATGGAATGCATGAAACCTCAACTTTGTCTTAATGTGGTCTTGGGTATCTACTCATCACTTCATTTCACAGTGTCAAAACAATCCAAAGATAAAGACAGATTCAAAGACCATACATGAATGAATGCAGTTTTATTCTTGATCAGAATTGACAAAGGAAGAACATATTCCTTACTAGTTACTAATTAACAGCACTGAATATTACTGGCTAAAATAAATCCTTGATTCTGAGAGCCAGTAAGAAACTTACTGGCTAGAGTGTTTATCATGAAATGTTTATTATAATATTATTGAAATTGGGGTAGTGTTATCTCTAGGTGATTGTATTTACAATATTCCAATTAAATATTTTTAGTTTCATTTATAGTGTCTTAAAACAATATAGATATAAGCCTGATTATTTGTATTATAAAGTTATTCCCCTTTACATATAAAAAGGACCAATGTAACATGTTTTTAAAATTCCATTTCAGTGATAATATGCAGCATGCATACTGGGAACTGAAGAGAGAGATGTCTAACTTACATGTGGTGACACAGGTGCAAGCAGAGCTACTTAGGAAACTGAAAACCTCAGCTGCAGTCAAGAAAGGCAAGTCACTGCTGGCTGGAAATGCAGATCCCAGCCTAACCCTGAAGAGCAGCTAGCTACTTTATCTTGTCAACATCTCATCCTAAGACTCTGATAAGCAGGCTGTGTGCAATGTGTGCACTGCACACCCATTCCCTGCTCTGGCTTCAGTCTCTAGCTGGTCAGCTTCACACATAAAGGTGTTGCTGGTGTTTTTTCTTCAGTACTATATTCTTTTCCCCTTGTGGCTTTTCTCAGCCAAGTGTTGCTTATGTGTGTAAGGCCAAGGTGTTAGGTTTGCTCTAGCTGGCCTTTTACCACAACTATATATGTTTAAAAAGAACTCCAAACCAAAGTTTCATTTCAATGCTATGAAGTATACGAAAGGCCTAGCTTTTTATTTTCAAAACAACTCTTGATTCATTTAGTTCCTGACAGTCTTTTTGTAGACTTCCTTTTCCATACAGAATGTCTGATTTGAAGGCAGACTTCAACCAAAATTTTTCATTGCTTTTGTTTTATATCCAATGTTTGACTAAAGCTTTTGAGTTTTATGTTAGCTAGTAGCGGGTACTTTTGCCAGTGCTGTTTTTGTACCTTAGAAAACAGTGAGTGTGTTTGCACCTCACGTTACGTATAGGTTTACATTTGAAACATACAATATACATTTAATGCCTTAAATTTTACTTTCAGAGGAATGTGATGGACTTTGAAAGGTGGTCAGCATTAATTTACAATTGTTATTTGCACCTCTGATTGTTGTAAGGGAGAACAAGAAAAATTGTTTTATAACTATTCTCAGGAGTGTTGGCAAGGGAAAATGTTTCACATTGGGGGAAAAACAGAATTCAAAGTTTCTTTTGATTTCTGCACCAGTCCCTAAAGTTCATTGTTTTAAGTAGAAAGGGTTATGGCTCACTTACCCTTGGCCTGCCCACCACTATTGTCTAGAAGAATTAATTACTTTCAGTTTTTTCACTATTCATCCTTCCTACTCCCCCAACGTTTCGAGTTGTCTTTTCTAAAATGACATGAGTTGGCCCAGCAAGATTGCTCAGTAGAAGGGCTCACCTACAAGCTTGAGGACCTGTGCTCACCTGGAACTCACGCTGGAAGCAAAGAACCAGTTCTGGAGAGTTTTCCTCTGCCCTTCACGCTCATGTGTGTGTGTCTGAATTCTCATGCTCACAAGCATACACACATAAAAATACAATAGAGGTTGCATGGAGCCAAGCCTTTGATACACTTGGTCATCCTTAGGTTGAGGAAAAATTTAAGCTTTCAGCCATGGCAGATTGGCTGAGAAGAATAAAAGATGCTGCTGTTGCCTGTATGCTAGACATAGCTAAATAGTGATCTCGTAGCAGTCTTTCGTTTCCTTTTGTAGCTGACCTGCTTGTTGACCAAAGCATTATATTTATTATAAGAAATTGAACTTTCAGCTTCTATTTCAACTACTTTATCCGTAAAAGTCTTTGAATATATGTTAAAATTTCATTTGACTCTTTGAGAATTCAAAGTATATTTATAAAAATGAATTACATATGGAGCCTCTTCCATGGAGATGTTTGAATAACAAAAGTGTATGTAAAACCTACTAATTCCTAAAGATTTTCTAGGTTCCCACTAACACCAATAAGGTCTGAAACCCTCACTAGCCACACTGAAGGCCAAGAGCTTTACTCGTGTTCACCTTGTAAAGAGACGACACCTTTTTATACCATGTAGAGACTCTTGATCAGCAGGAGAGCACAGCAGGGAGGGAGTCCTGTATCCATTCTGCAGAGGACGAAGTTGAGTGAGTGAGCTGAAGTCCATGTCAGTAAGTATGGGATCTATAAGAATTCAAGACTGTGAAGTAGCTCCAAATCAGTTTCCCAGTGGCCATATTGAATTGGAAATGTTCATTTTAGTGTCAGTTGCAAAGTTGGTATATGACATGTTTACAGTCATAAATGCTAGAAAACTGACACTTAGCCTATGCTTTCTTTTTTAGCCTGCACTCCAGCAGGATGTGTTGAAGACCTTGGGAGAGACCGTGCAAAATTGCACTTGACAAATTTCACTGCAACATACAAAAGACATCCCCCTTTGTCACCAAATGGCAAAGCTACTTGTTATGCTCCATCCTCCCCTTTGCCAGGAGATATAAAGGTTTTATCAGACAAAGTAGTTCTTCAGTCATGGACAGATAATGAGAGACTGATTCCTAATGATGGTACCGACTTTCAGGAGCACAACTCTTATGGCCGAAATTCTCTGGATGACAATTCTTGGGTATTCCCAAGTCCTCCTAAATCAAGTGAAACAGCATTTGGCGAGAATAAAAACAAAACCATACCTTTATCCAACCTGCCCCCACTGCATTACTTGGACCAACATAATCAGAACTGCCTTTTCAAAAGTTAATCTGATGGGACTTGCGGTTTGACCAGGAGGACACTAACTCGAACTGGTTCTCCCAAAGATTATTCAGACTGAAGGAGACCTGGATTAAAATCTTGCAGAGTTCTCCAATATGTACATTTGTGCATTCTGTACAACATTATGTAGTTGCAGTTCCAGTGTGAGAACCTCCAGTTATACCTCTGATAACAATTAAGATTTTGCTTCTTGGTTTAAGAATGGAAATTTTAGACATGGTTTTATAAAGTATGTGATCTGCCTAAATACCTATTCATTAACTAAAAAGCAGCCTTTATTAATATAAAAGAAAAACCACGTGTGCTGCTTCAGATTATGTCAAGAAGCAAATGGCAGTATGAATGGGTTGTGCTTCTGTGACTTCATGATACAAACAGATTTGAAATGTAATGAATAAAAGTAGGCTATTATGTCTCTATGCTAGTGTTTTAAGATTTAAAATCATTTCTAAGTAAGATGTATATACAATTTTAAAATGCAATTTGAATTCTAACACTTGACCATTGGAGCCAACTTTTCCCCAGTATATTCAAATCCTAAGTAATTAAAAATGATATGGTATATGAATAAACTATATAGACTTTTACAATATCCAGTTAAAAGTAGAAAGGGCATCTCACAGGGCAGTCTGTTCGGTGATTCATAATGAGTTCCTCTTGTGTCACTGTGTGGTCATTTTCAGCAGGACAACTGTTTGTTTTACACAGAGTAGCTTATATTGCATTAGACTATGACATCTGAGAAATTGATTCTTAATTAACTACATCTAGAACTAAATTTTGTGCTGTCTAATTATGAAATGTCTCCAAATTCATTCTAATTGGCCAGTCACTTGTAAATAAGTAAAGAAATAACAAAGATGGCTTCATGTGAAAGTTCATCTAAATTCCTTCAGGGTTGAAGCATTAATAGTATTATCAATTATGTATTACCTGTTTGATGTAAGACTTTATCCTTACCTAAGTGGTATTTCATATATCCTGAATTTAAAGGACCTATCTCAGATCTCATATTACTATCATACCTAGCCCAACAGTGTTCACCAGTTATTTCTGTATTGGTATTATCTCACTCACTTATTCATGCCTGTCCATGATTAATGGGATTGATGTCAGATGCTGGAATGTGTTCTGTACTCAAGGGAGTACAGGCTCCTGCCAAGTAATACAACAAGACCCAATATGCATAAAACAAATACGAGATTCCAGGCTTTAGCTGAAGGAACTAACTACCTGTGTAATAAGAAAGCAGAGACATTTCTCATGTGGCTGCAGAGGGTATCTATCATCCCGTGCCTAATGTAGCTTACTGGTTTGCCTTTTTTTAAACCAAGATTAGTTTTCCTTTGTAAAGAGAGACTTATAATGTTTTGAACAATGCCAAGAAATTGTTTTAATTAAAATTATTTTTGTTTGTAAAATGGAATTGGATGTGAAATACTGTCCTTGCCTATGTGTATTTCCAAAGTCTGGTATTAATTTTATTTCTCAAACATATTTCCTCTACCCAGTAGTAACAGTTATCAAAAAGGAATGCTAGAACATTTTGATTGATGTTTTTAATAGTTAAAGTGTTAATGGCTGTGTAAGACCCCTTAACTAGAGAAGATAAACTCCAAAATATTTTACTTAGTCAGAAAATAAAGTTTAAGTGTACACTTAGCCCTGTGGTTGAAAAGATGGCATGGTACCATCTGTATTTTGTGATTCATTAAAATTGGCATTTTTGTTGGTCCTTTTCATATTAGCTAACGCAAAGATCTTCCCTTGAAATTTTCTGTAATGGCTGAATTTCTCATGGTAAGGATTTTAAGCACACCTGTAACTCAGTAATACAATGAATACAATTAACAGTCACCTCTTCCTTCCTCTTGATCCCTTATTAGCCTAAAGAGGGGGAAACATTCACTTCTAAAGATTCTTGTATTGAGTTGAGGCCAACATAAAACTGAATGTGTATGTAGGTCAAGAATAAACTTGCTCTATGAATGTGCAACAGTTGAAACCCAATATACCAAAAATAACATCTGCAGCAGATACAGAGAGGTGAACATGAACATTGCTTTTGTGACACACAACAAAAATCTTGTTACTACTTCACTCAGTTTTTTTTAAGATTTATTATGTAGTATTCTGTCTGCACATATGCCTGCAGTCCAGAAGGGGGCGTCAGATCTCACTACAGAGGGTTGTGAGCCACCATGTGATTGCTGGGAATTGAACTCAGGACCTTTGGAAGAACAACCAGTGCTCTTAACCTCTGAGCCATCTCTCCAGCCCACTTCACTCAACTCTTACTGTAACTGCTATACCTTTTGTTTGAGTCACTGAAAACAAGAACTGTAGCCCTGCATTACAAAGTGCACCGGCGCCACCCTGCCCGAACAGGAGGAGCAAGCTGCCTGCCTCTCTCCCCGTGCTGCAGTGCAGCCTCTGGACTTACAGTGTTTAATCTGCTGTGGTCTCTGGCCACCTTTTGTTCATCTATGGTCTGTGAGAGTGGATTCTTTGAGTTTCAAATGAGTAAAGTAGTTCTTTGGTGAGTACTGTGTGAAACTTCCTATGCATTCATGCTCATTTCATTTGAAGGAGAAAAAAAAAATCATGGGATTGGAGCCAAAGCTAAATCTTGTCTTCCTGTTTAAGAAAGTAGCTCTTTAAAAATTTATAAATAAATAAAGGCCCAGCCTAAGCCCAAATTAATGCACTGGAGCAGAAACTTAACACAGTACCTCCTGAATCCCCAATGTTACAAAACAGAAGTTCACATTTAACCTGACAACTTCTTCAAAGATTATACAAAGTGGAAAAGATCAAGAAACATATTGCAGAAATTTTTCCATCACAGGTTTCAGAAAATTAATTCACTAACCTCATTTATACTTTCAAATAAGGCCATGTGAGGCCTGAGCCCTGCCTACATGTGTGCACTCTGGCCACCCCGCCACAGCCGTCAGTCACTGAGACTGACCCCACAGTGACAAGGTGAGTGTTGGATGGAGAAGGGCTGTGCCTCACAGCGGCTGGGCTTCGCAGTCACTATAAGCAGGGAGGCTGCTGGTCCTTTACTTTAGTACTCTCATCCTGCACTGGCCATCAGCCTGCATAATCAGGACAAACTACTGTACACAAGGAATTCTAAGACCATCAGCACTGCGACTGCACTCAGAGCTATGGAAGAACTTGGCTTTAAAAGAAAAAAAAAAACAGGAAAACCCCTCCTATCCCATATTTAATAAACTAGAACTCTGGAATAAAGATTTTTATTTCATAAAAAAGGATCAGAATTTTCATGATTAGGGTGAGCAAACATTGCTTCAGTCCATCATTTCTGGCATATATTACAAGTGGCTTCCATAAGATGTGACTTCCTGACTATTTGCCTACATGCTTGTAGGAAGCTTCTGTAGCCTCCTCTTGGTAGGAACTCCGGTTTTTCTGAATTCTTCCCTTTCCTTGAGATATTCCAGTTTGCACTCTTCATAGAAAGCTGGATCATTATAGCTACAAAGAATAAATTAAAATATTTCAAAATAAATACAAGCTTTAATAACATTCAGATATAAGATTCAGTCTTGAGAAGTTCACTTTCAGTAACAGTCACCAAGGCATAATAAATATGACTAGTAAAAAAATGGAACTAAAGGTTTTTAAAATTTTGTAATGAATAAAGTACATAGTAAGATAAGGTCTTATCACAGAATAGAGAACGAGTGATGCTACAATCCAGGAGCCCACGGCTTAACAGGCAAGGGCTAGACGAGGACAAAATATAGAAGGTACAAAGATGGACATGCAAATGTGAGGACGGGGAGGTGTCATGAGAATATGCTTGAGTTTTGCAAGGCCAACAAAGGGGCATGCGGAAAGGCACATGCGAGCATAGAGTGAGACAAGACACTTCAAGCGGGCTGCTACTCCCAAGTGGACTGTGCTCGCAGCAGAAAGAACCCAAGAAAGAGTGCACAGGGACCTGATTATGATGGGCGGTTATGCCAAACTGTTACAATCTACCCCAAAAGCAATACGACAGGACTAACTGCAAATGAAGAATCTTGAATGACTGGCAGTGTGTGGCAGGCTGGCTGAAAGGGACAGCAAGGTTTTTAAAGTCGGGTCGCTAATATTATTCATTCAAAAAATGATGTGGGCCTCTGCTAGCCCAAAGGAAAAGATGTAGGGATGCAACAGGGAAAAACTGATTTGGTAAATAACTAGAGTTAGTGAGGAGATGACTGTAGACTACAGAAAACTATAATTCAAGCCATACAACAGTGTGAACAACAAAAAAGTTCCACTTAGGACATGAGGGAAAACAGAAAAATGAGATCTGTGGTGATTTAGTCCACGGGTACAAACTATACTTAGATTTAAGATTCTTAACAGAACCCTAAGAAACCAATTTTAAGACATAGCTTAAGGGAGACAAGGTTGAGGAGTGGAGAAATGTGTGGCGTCTTACGGTATATTTGTTTACACTGCATGAAGATGTGTCACTGTGATTGATTTAATAAAAAGCAGAATGACCAATAGCTAGGCAGGAGAGGTTAAGCAAGACACCCAGGCAGAGAGACGAATTTGGGATGAATCTAAGTGTATGGGGAGACCCCGGTCAGACATGGAGGTAGTCGGACATACAGAATAAAAGACAAGTAAAAAACAACATATGGCAAAACATAGATTAATAGAAACAGGTTAATTAAGTTATAAGACCTAATTGGGAACAAGCCTAAATTAAAGGCCAAGCTTTTATAATTCATAAGTGTCGGTGCCATTGCTTGGAATCTGGCAGTCCCCAAGAGAAAATCTGACAAGAAAGAAAGTTCAACCCCATTTGGTGCTCCAAAGTATGGTAGGACCACACAGAAGTCATCCAGTCAGCCAGTGCCACCACAGTTGCTGCCTGACTACCTGGACCTCTCTACAAGCACTCAGGACAGTCAGCTGTTACTTGCAGGGACTCTGCTCAGCAACTTCCCAGAGCTGGGACAGTTAGGCACCATTGGAACACCTAACCCTCGGTGCCTAAGGACCCAAAGAGGGCAGAGGCAGCTGCCTGCATTGTGTGCTAAGAAAAGCCACTAAAGGAGCCTGCAGATGCACAGAAGCGCTTTTGCAACATGTTCCCAGAGCCGTGCTCTGCCGCATTTCTGCATTCATCCATCCCTTCGTGTCTGGTCAGAGGCAGCATGTAGCCTGGCTTCTTAAGGCTTGGCTCACAGGGTCAAAGAATGCTGCAGTCTCAGTAAAGCCAGGAGCAGACCGGAAAACAAAACAAAACCTCTCAACAGGTACAGTACACTTTAAAATGTGCTCGATGCTGTAAAAATTAAAATGGATATAAACAGTCATTTAAAAAGTTTAAAAATAATAAAGTCTTTAAAAAGAAAGTAAAGTAATATAAAAATAGCCCATGTAAAGATGAGAAATACACATGGCATCTGAATCCTGTATGGTGCTTTGAGTTTTAATTTTTTAAATGCTAATGAACAAAAAATGGAGGCTGCTTAAAGAGAATGGATTGTGGGGGGTAGGGACTACTGAATTAAATCAGCCTGTATATTTTAAGAGTGTCTTAACTTCATATTGGAAGTCAGAAAATTCATTGCACTGGATGAGAGGTTTGCCTTTGTTTCCACAGGAAACTAAAGCCTATGACTTCCTTCAAAATAAAAAAAGATCAGATTTGACCAGGGTAGACCTTCTGAAAATCTTGGCTACAGACATTAAGGAAGAAACCAAAAAGGAATACAGCACAGATGACATGTAAGCTTATCCTACAACATGGGAACAGCTCTGAGACTGGATGAGACATGATAAATCTTGTTGGCTACAAAGTCCTCATGACTTATTATTACATGCCATCCTTTCATACATCATGGGAGTAGTTTGTATTAGTTTGTATTTGCAGTCCAAATGGACTTACAAAGTTGGCAAATGCCTTTAACCTGCTCAAATGAGCAACCAAAAAAAAAAAAAATCATCTTTAACTGACTTCTCTGCACACCACATATTCTATACTTGTGTTAATGAAGGTATGTAGATTACTGTAAAAGTTTGTGTTTTTCAGAACAAAAAGACCAGACATCACTAAAGACAAGTAGCCCAGGTTATTTAGCCTCTCAGAGCCTCTGTTGCAGTTTCCAGAAAAATCTGCATCCAAAACAACTTCAAATTAGCTTGTTGAGATGGTCCAGCCACAGACTATTTCAGTTAAGCTCTACAGTTTCCCATCACACTGAGACTGGACAACCACTAGCTCTCCCAGGATGTGACCATTATCCCAATTTTCTCAGGATCCCCTAAAGATGATGCTGTCGTCACCAGACAACATGAAGTAATTTTAAGGACACAATTCCCACATTCCCAAAAAGTGGGGTGAGTGGGTTTTTGGTCATCTGATGGATTATGGATGTTTACCATCGTTCTGGGGGGTTGGTTGCATTGGTCATGGTCAGGGATAAAAATTAAGCAAAGGAGATCAGATTTAAGGAACTCATTCTGAAAGGAAAAAGGGGGTATAGGAATGAAAGGAAAATATTTTAAATTGATATGGATTTTTGTATGTTGATACAACTTTATTTTTGGTAGAACACAGTGTATATATGTTTCTACTCTTGTTTAGGGTATTTTTGTATATTGATACAAATTTAAGGTTATTTTTGTTATATTGTATATACGTTTCTATTCCTGTTTAAGACTTTGGACCTATGTAGCTCGTTTAACAATGCAATGCAAAATTCTAGTCCTTGAAAGTTATTATAAACTATTCGGAAAACTAAGAAATTCAGGTTAGTAGTCATCTATAATACAAGCAAACTTGTCATATTAGTTATGTTTTCAAGGTCAATCAAAGGTATATTTTAGATATATAGGTGGTCTTAAAATACTTCCTGAGACCTAAAGAATATGACATTTGAAGTATTTTAATAACAAGGCTTTTAATGGCATTGAGAAATATCTGCTCCTAGCAGCACTGATTTACTTAAAAAAAAAAAAAAGATGATCTGCATCAAAGAGCCTCCATATGGAGTTTGCTTTCATTGTGGCTAAGTTAGTCTCAACTGCTGACAGTATGCTGTCCAAACTGGACAAGCAGAACACAAAAAGAAAGCAATTACCAAATTTTGCTAAGACAAGGCAGGATAGTCCTTCAAAATCCCTGCTTCACAGAAAAGTCTGTCAGATATTCTAGGCCCACAGGCCGATGATGGATGCCCCAGTGTTGCCGAGGAGCCTTGGGTGACTGCTCTGGAAACCATCTGTTCCTGTCATTTCTATAGTTTTCAAAGTTATTTGCTCTGTTTATTCAGGTAATATTTTATATTCTATCCTTCTTGGGACTATGATGGGGTTGAAGAATTAGGTAGTTATACCATTTTCCTTGTTACTAAATTAAAAAAAGAAATTTACAAAAGAGATGTACTGTTTATATGGTTGAGAGATATAAAAGCTTAAGTTATTTATCTACAAATATGTTTTAAGGTCTAAAAAGTAATACAAGTTATGATAGAAAGTGTTTCAGGTATAAAACTTTGAACTC